GACAAACGGTACCGCAAGGAAGGTCACCGACATTGTTTACCAGAAAAGAGGATGTGGGCCGCGCGCGTTGTATTGGTGTTGGAAAAAGAGTTGTTATTATTATTATTTTTATTCCTTGTAGGAAGGGGAGAAGCGGTACCGCATGGAGACAAGCGGAACCGCGGAGAGTTAAAATGGTACCGCAAGGAGGCTCAGCGGAACCGCGACACTGGAAACGACACCGTTTACCGGGAAGCAAGATGTGGGCCGCGCGTTTGGTATTGGTGTTGGAAAATGAGTTTTAATAATAATTATTATTATTATTATTATTATTCCTTGTCGGAAGGGGAGAAGCGGTACCGCATGGAGACAAGCGACATCGCAGAGGAGACAAGCGGCGTCGGTGATGTTGACTCGTACCTTGATCAGCGGTGCCGATTATTTAAAAACCATATCGGGTAAGTGATTGGCCCAAAAATCCCCCCAGCCCAAACGTGCAAAATCGTGGCAATTGGTGTTTCTTTTTATTATGTTAGGCGGTGTGTTTTAATTTAAAATGGTACTGCGGGTAGCCCAACGGTGCCGCTGTACTAGCGAACGACAGTGTTTAAAATAAAATACAATGTCGCGAAAGGAAAAGCAAACGAAGCCGTTTTGGCGATAATGATGTCGTTGGTTAACACACGAGTTTGACCAGAGATGGCCGGATTAATTCATTAATATATTTAATGACTATTTAAGACGGTGTAGTTTAGTTGAAAACGATGCCGCAAGAGGAAGGAAACGACACCGCGAGTAGGCCAAACGATGCCGCAATAGTTAAAACGATAGTGTTAAAACGGCATCGCGAAGTTCAACAACATCGCAGAACTAGAAAACGATGTTGTTTAATTAATAACAGCGTCACGAAGTGAGAGTTTGACGGCTTGTCAACAATGATGGCCGGTTTAATTAATGAATATTTTAAGAATAATTTTAGACGGTGTCGTTTAGTCGAAAACGACGCTGTGGGAGATATCAACACCGTCGCGGTACTGAAACGATGTTGTTTAATAGAAAACAACGTTGCAGTGGCGAGAGTTCAGCAATTTTGGATTTCGGCTGGGTGTCGTTTTGGCAAAGTTTCCGCGTGTCCAAGTGGTTTCGCACTCGTGGGAGTTACGCAACAATGAGGAAGTTACCTGCACGGTTGACATGAATGAAGACGTGGGAGATAAAGGCGCGAAGTCAGTTACTACGACCGCAGGGAGAAGAGCGAAGTATAAATATTGGGAAGAGAGAGAAGCTCGGGACGGCAAAATCAAATAAAAAATAGCACCATCGCAGAATCTATCTTTTTCTCTCTAGTTTCGTAGAACCGCTCTGTCAAAGACCTCCTTTGACGAGTCGTAGATCGTAGCTTGTAGTCGTAGTCGCAGAGCTCTCCAGAGGAACACTCCCGGTTTGGTTTCTCGTTTCTCGTTGAACACCCTCGTTCGAACGTAGTTTGGAGAGGTGGTGAACCGAGTAACGGTTGTTCTGGTTAGAAGTCAAAGGTGCATTGATCAAATCAACATCGCCGACGCCGGCGGTGGATATTTGACAGTCATCTTGGTTTCTGTTTAATCGATCAAATCAACGGCGCCGACATTTGGCGGCGGATATTTGACGATTGTGATTGACTTTGTGCTTGTGTTTACTTGAAAACAGTGCGCATTGAACGCGCGAGTTTCGCCAACGAAATAGCCATGATGTGGATGAGAGAATGGAAGTTTGGCTTATTAGAAAGAAAAGAAGAATTGATGGCGTAGAGTGATGAAGAGAGAGAGAGAGAGAGAGAGTGAGAGTCGATCAAAGACAGCCAATCCCTCGACCGTGAGTCACCTGTGCATCAATCGTTGCCATCATCAATTCAATTCAACGGTAACCAGCATTGAAGATGAGAGACAGAAGATTGGCACGGCTGGATCTATTTAAAGACCTCTCCAGGAAGAAGAAACGGAGTAGTTTCCTTTGCTTAGTAAGAACGGGTCTGTTCTTTGGGAGTATTTGGATTGGGTTCGGTTCAAGTGTCTGGATGACTAGAGTTGGGGCTGATTGCCTGAACTCTAGTCTATCTGGGCTTTTCTCTCTCTTGTATTCTTCTCTCTGCTCTCGTTCTTTAGCTGTTAGGGTTTTACTTTGATTAAAGAACTACTGGTCTTAGGGAGTATGTCAGTGACAATTTGCTCGTTTGTGTGAATTGTTGATTTACTGTTTCAACTGTCTAAAACATCAATACTATCATTGTTCTCGTTTTGGTATGAGAATGGAGTAAGACATAGTCACTTTTCAATTGGTATCAGAGCCTCCTTTTCGTGGAACTAAGTGTTGCCGAGAAGGAGATCCTCTACCTTGCTGTGTCTTCCAATTCATTCCCCACCAGCTCAAACCCTCCCTAGTTTTCTGGTAGTAATTATTCAGTATGGAAAAAGAGAATGAGACTGTACCTCCGAGGAATCGATTGTGAATTGTGGGCAATTGTCCGAAATGGACCAATTGACATGAAAGATGATGATGAGGAGGATTGGTCTGATGAACAAAAGAAAAGTGCACAACTAGATTCTAGGGCAATGCACATTTTGCTTTCTGCAATATCTGATGACGAAGGAGAAAGAGTTAACAAGTGTGAAACAGCTAAAGAAATTTGGTCAATTCTTGAAACAACTCACGAAGGAACTTCAGAAGTCAAAGAAACTAGAATTGATTTGCTTTTAAAAGAATATACACATATGACATGATATCTGGTGAATCAATTTCTGAAATGGATAAGAGATTTTTCACCCTGGTCAATCGACTTAAAGGGCTGGGAAAAACTTTCTCAAGCAAAGAGCCTGTTAGAAAGTTACTTAGATCACTTCCTCTTGAATGGATGGCCAAGAGAACTGCCATAGAGGAAGCTAAGGATCTTAATGTTCTATCCCTTGAAAACTTAATTGGCTCTCTTCTTACTCATGAGGAAGTTCTCAAACAAATGAACTCTCTCCATGATAAGAAGAACAAATCGATTGCATTTAAATCTGTGTATGCAAATGAAGAAGAAAACTGGATGAAGAGTTTGAAAATGAACTCGCCCTTACCAGCAAAAAACTCCAAAGAATGATCAAGTTTAAACATGATCAAAATGCAAAAAGGGTAAGTCAAAACAATAGCTACTCTTCCAGATCATCTGGTAACATGTTTGGCAATTCCCCTAGATCATCTGGACATCATTCTGGTGGAACAAATGATAAAAGCTCATTTGGAACCAACAGATCTAATTCTAGTCCTAAAGATAGCAAGAGCTTAAATGATAGCAAATCTGACTCAACTATTTGCTTCAAATGTGGTAAAACAGGTCACATGAGAGCCAATTGTCCACTTAACAAGAAAAAAAAAAGCAATGACAGCCTCCTGGAGTGATTACAGCTCAGAGGAGGAATTAGAAGTTGTTGCCTACATGGGACTGAACTCCAACATCGAGGATGAACATTTTAATGAAAAGGTATGGTCTGACTCATTTTCTGACTCTCTCTGTCTCTCTCTCTCTGTCTGACTCCAACAACGAAGATTTTTTCCTTCATGCTCTCTCAAATCTTCAGGATGAGTGCAATAGATTAAAAAGCAGATTCTGTTTGACTATGACTCAGTTGCATGAAAAGGAAATAGAAGTTAGAAGTCTCAAAGAACTTGTCGAAGTACAACAGGCTGCTCAAATTACTCAAGACAATCAAATTGCTAACCTTACTGCAGAAAACAATAGACTAACAAGGGTGATTGGTAACTGCCACAGGATAATGAACAGAAATACCATGATGTCATATCCATCTCAGGAGTTTATCAATTCTGGATTTAGTCCTAAACCGCTTACTAATAAATATCCATCTTATACTTGGAGGCATCCCTTGTTCTGTATTGTCTGCAAGAAGTCAGGACATGACTTTAATCATTGCTATTCAAGGAAACAAAAACCCAAACTTGTTTGGGTTGTTAAAACATCTGATTAAGCTTCTTTTCTCTGTCACGAAAATTAACTGGCATAGAAATCTAGGTCACATGAGTATGTCCCGTTTGGCTAAACTCTCTAAACTCAACCTGGTTAGAGGTCTGCCCATAATCAAGGCATCAGATAACTTCTCTTGTGAAGCTTCCATTTTAGGGAAACACTGTAAGAAGTCTTTCAAAAATAAACAAGATGTTACATCTTCAATTACTTTTGAACTGTTACATATGTATCTATTTGGACCCACCAATGTCCACAGCCTTGGTGGGAAATCTTATGTGCTAGTTATAGTTGATGACTACTCCAGGTTCACCTGGGTATTCTTCTTGTCATCCAAAGATTAAGCTTTTTCTAAATTCAAGTCTTTTGTTATTCTTGTCCAAAAACAGTATGACTGCCTTGTAAAAAGTATTAGAAGCGATAATGGAGGTGAGTTCATTAATGATGATTTCAGCTGCTTCTGTGATCAGCATGGTATACTTCACACCTTTTCAGCTCCTAGAACTCCACAACAAAATGGTGTTGTGGAGAGGAAAAATCGATCTCTTATTGAAACTGCTAGAACCTTGCTCTTAGAGTTTGACTGTCCCAAGTTTCTATGGGGTGAAGCTGTCAATACAGCCTGTTATGTCATAAATCGAGCCACCATTCGTAAGATGATTAACAAAACCCCTTATGAAATTCTGAAAGGAAAGACCCCTAAACTTTCCTATTTTCGTCCTTTTGGAACCAAATGCTACATTTTAAATACGGGTTAATTGCAAGGATGGTCACTGGGTTTACTAAAACCGTTCATATTTGGTCACTGCAAATATTTAATTCCATTCATGGTCACTAAGATTAGTTCAATAGTTCAAGTTTGGTCACTCTCCGTTAGTCTCCGTTAGTTTTTGCTGATGTGGCAGTCAACTATTATAGTTAACCGTTAAATGAGTGACGTGGCCAGTAAAATTTTTTTAATATTTACAATTTCCACCTCATTTTACAACTATTAAGAAATAGAAATAAAAATAAAACTTACCTCCTCCCAAAAAAATTCATTAATTGCTCCTCTTTCCAGCTGCCACCGGCAGCCCCTCCCACTCTTACTTCCTCATCTGTTGTCTGCTTACCCTACTACGACTACCAATTCCAAACCGAACCTTTGAACACAACGGAATCGAGCAGTGCTCCCGGCGTGGTGGCTAGCGATGTGTCCGCCAAACACAGCATAGAGAACTAAAACAAGAAGGGGAAGGCCATTGGAGAAGCGGAAGGAAGGAAGGAATTAGCAGAGAGAGAGAGAGAGGCGGTTTGAGGAGGTCTGTCGATCGATCTACATACATCTGCTGAACTGCTCGGCCTTTGATCTGGTGTGGTGGAGCTTGATCAATCCGACTGGATCGGGAAGGCAGACAGAGCAGAGAATGGGGAGAGGGAGAGTGCAGCTGCAGAGGATAGAGAACAAGATCAACAGGCAGGTGACGTTCTCGAAGCGGCGGTCCGGTCTGCTGAAGAAGGCGCATGAGATCTCTGTTCTGTGCGACGCGGAAGTGGCTCTTATCGTCTTCTCCACCAAGGGGAAGCTCTTCGAGTACTCTACGGATTCCTGGTAATTCACTTCATCAATTGCACAATCCTTTCCCATCTTCTCGACTCGATTTGCTCTACTTTAGTAGAGCCGAATCCATCTTCTGGTTTTTTTTTTTTTTTTATCTCAATTGCATCGGATGTTGGCTCGTTGGTTTGGATGGATTGCTCTTAGCTAGTTAGGGTTTCTTACTGCTTCGTCTATTTCAATCAATTTGGGGGTAAAATTAAAGAAGAGAAAAAACAAAACATAAGCAAGCAAGGAGAAAGGATATGAAAAACGAAATTGTGAATCTATGGAGGTAAGTTTTAATTTTTATATTTATTTTTTAATAGTTGTAAAATGAGGTGGAAATTGTAAATATTTAATTTTTTAATTTTTTTTATTTTTTAATGGCCACGTCACTCATTTAACGGTCAACTATAATAGTTGACTGTCACTCATTTAACGGTCAACTATAATAGTTGACTGTCACATCAGCAAAAACTAACGGATACTAACGGAGAGTGACCAAACTTGAACTATTGAACTAATCTTAGTGACCATGAATGAAATTAAATATTTGCAGTGACCAAACATGAACGGTTTTAGTAAACCCAGTGACCATCCTTGCAATTAATCCTTTTAAATACTAAGGACTCAATTGGAAAGTTTGATGCCAAGTCTGATGCTGCCACTTTTCTTGGATACTCAAGTAAAGGTCAAGCATACACAGGTTTTAATAGAAGATCTAGAAAAGTTGAAGAGTCAGTTCATGTTCGATTTGAATCTTCCCAATCTTCCCTACCTTTGCATTCTGATATTAATAACTGTGACTTTCTGCCTCTTAGAAATTCTCTTGAGACAGGAAGCACTTCCAACAGTGTGGAATCTACCTGCATTAATCCAAACTCATCAGCACTTCCCTTCGAGACAGATTCAGCTGAAAACTCTGAAAATCATGAAGCACCAGCTCACATCAGAAAGAGACACCCTCCTTCACAAATAATAGGTAACCTTACAGATCCGATCCAGACTAGAGCTAAGCACATCCCAGGTCAGTATGCCTTTGTTTCCTTGCTTGAACCTAAAAATTATAAAGAGGTTATACTTGATGAAGAATGGTTACTTGCTATGCAAGAAGAATTGTCTCATTTCATTAGATTAAGTGTCTGGGAACTGGTACCTAGACCTGTAAACCTTACTGTTATTGGAACTAAATGGATTTTTAGAAACAAATCTGATGAATTAGGCTACATTATTAAAAATAAAGCACGTCTAGTCGTGCAAGGATACAATCAAGAGGAAGGCATCGACTTTGATGAAACTTTTGCTCCAGTTGCTCGACTGGAATCAATTCGACTCCTTTGTGCTTATGCTAGCTACATGAATTTCAAACTTTACCAAATGGATGTAAAAAGTGAATTGTTAAACGGTGAGATCAAGGAGGATGTGTACGTTGAGCAACCTCCTGGATTCATCGACTTTGAATTCCCTAACCATGTTTTTAAGTTGTCCAAAGCACTTTATGGTCTTAAACAAGCTCCTAGAGCTTGGTATGAAAAATTGACTCTTTTCTACTCTCTCAATGCTTCTGTCAGGGTGGGGTCGACAAAACTCTCTTTATTAAACGAAAAAATAATCACTCCTTGATTGTGCAAGTTTATGTAGATGATAGTCTTTGGAAGCACAGACCCTGGCATGTGTGATGAGTTCTGTTCCTCCATGAAAAATCAATTTGAAATGAGTTTGATGGGAGAATTGACATTTTTCTTAGGCCTGCAAATTCATCAAACTGCTTCTGGGATCTTCATTCATCAAACCAAATACCTACAATCTATGCTGTCCAAATTCGATTTAATGAGTATTAGCTCTTGCAAGACCCCCATTGCTTCAAATACTCATCTAGATTATGATCTAGATGGGCAACCAGTTTGTGAACAAAAATTTAGAGGAATGATAGGGTCTTTACTGTATTTAACTGCTAGTAGACCAGACATTCAGTTCAGTGTCTGTCTTTGCGCCAGATTTCAAAATCATCCTAAGGAAAGTCACATGATAGCTGTCAAAAGAATTTTTAGATATTTAAAGGGTTCACATGATCTTGGTCTGTGGTATCCTAAATCTGAATCTCCGACTCTAATAGGATATTCTGACTCCGATTTTGCTGGCAGCATTACTGTTAGGAAAAATACTAGTGGTACATGTCAATTTTTTGGTCGTTCCCTTGTGTCTTGGTCGAGTAAAAAACAAGGATATGTGGCCTTGTCAACAGCAGAAGCAGAATATGTTGTTGCGGGAAGTTGTTGCACACAGATTTTCTGGTTAAATCACAACTTTCATACTATGGTCTCAATTTTAATAAAATTCCTATTCTCTGTGACAACACTAGAGCAATCTTTATGTCGAAAAAACCCTGTCCACCACAGTAGAACCAAGCATATTGAAGTGAAACACCATTTTATCAGAGATATAATTCAGGCTGGTCATGTAGAATTAAATTTCATTTCTACTGAATTTCAACTTGCGGACATCTTCACAAAGGCTCTTTCTTCTTATCGATTCATACGACTATGTGATGAACTTGGATTGCAGTCACTTCACTCCATTCAGAATGTCCATTAAACCAGGTTCCGCACTTCCTTACTCGTACTTTACTTGTAAATCAATAATTACTGCATTTATGTTTGTCGTGCCTTTCTAGAAATTGGTTGTTCAATGAATGTGTTGTTTGAGTTTCCCATGTTTTCTTTTTGATAGTTCCAAAAACTCTAAATACTGCTCTTAGTATTTTGGTTCATGTTTAAGTATATATATTCCATCTTCCCTGTCTCCTCTTCGTCCCTCATGCTCTAAACCTCAAATCCTGTCCCTCAATATGACTGAGCTTTTCACCTCATCCAACATTCCTGGTGCCATTGTCACCTATGTTGGGAGAACATTCAATGAGCCTATTGACTTCAACCTGCATCGATTCAAGGATTTTTTATGCCTCTCGCAGACTTGTTGATCCCATTACCCTTGATCTCTTTGAATTCAAAGCCTCTGGGATTGACATTACCCCTTTCATCCAAAACCTGGGATGGAATTTCTTCTTCACTACCCACCTCTTGCTGCCTGTCCTCTTCCTGTACGAGCATTCTATGCAAATTTGGACGGTCGGGGCATTACCACAAGGAAACTCACTACACTGGTGAATGGTTATTTTATTTCCCTTACCTCTGAAGCCAGTGGTGTACTTCTGAACCTTCCTACTGGAGGTCCCCTTCCTCTTGCTCATGAGGATGAATTCCTATTCTATGATTTTGATAATGTGATTGAGTACTCTCGCATCACTCAACGTCGAGTTGGGGCTAATGAAGTTATCACCTCTGTCGATCTGAACCCTTCCCTGCGTACACTCCACTACTTCATTACCCACTTTTTCTTACCCCGCACCACTGGCCTTCATATTGTCACTAAAATCGACCTTTGGATCCTCTCAAATGCTCTCACTGACCGTCAAATTGACTATTCCCAGCTGCTTTTTGGATCCATTGTTCGAAGCGCTGATACTCACATTGGTGGTCCACTTCCTTATGGTGGATTCATCACCCTTCTCATTTTCAATCTTGGCATTTGCTTGGATGGATACTCCTCTGTGGAGACCTCTGTGTATGTCTCTGCTCTCTCAGTTCTGAACTTCATAGGTGTTGATCCTGAGTCTTCGAAAGGGGGAGACACCTGTGATCCAGCAGTTGTTGTGCATTTCAAGCGCAAATCCAAATCCATATCAAAATCCCCGCTTCTTGGGGATTCATCCTCATCTGTTCGCAAAAACCTGATCATTTTGTTTGAAGAAGAAGAAGTTGAACTGGAACATGTAACAGTGTCTGAAAAGGATATCAGATTCTTTGCTAAAGATCTTGAGAAGGACATGATGGAAGGCATGGTTGGAACTCAGGGGGAGCCAAAGGAAAAGGACATGATGGAAGGATTAGCTGGAACTCAGGGGGAGCCAAATGAAAACTGTTCGCTGGAAGACAAACTGTGAAGAAGGAATCATAAGAATAATAAGGAGAATCTGAACCTGTGTTTTATTGTGTCTTTGTGGTGTTGATGTGTTCGTCTGTCTTGTTTGAAAGACCATAATGGTCTATCATTTGTGTCCTATCTTTAAAGACCACAATGGTCTAAATAAATTACTCATTCTTGTTGCTTCTGGAAGTCATCGTGTCCAGTGCAATATATCTCGATATTCATGTGCAAGTTAAGAAATAAATGTCTACTTTGTACATACTGGTATGTCTGAGGAACTCTATGCTTTGATGTTACTTTGACTGTTGGCAGGAATAAAGGCTTGAACGCAAGGGGATATTGTTGGGATTATGATGTAGCGCGAGGGAGTATGATGATAGGACGACGAACTTATGAAATTTTCGAAGTCAGTCGCTCAACAAAAGACACTGAGCACATAACTAGGTGGGGGCTGTATAGGTGTCAATCGGGCGGGTTCGGGCTGGGTTCAATCGAGTTGCAAGTTAGTCGGGTTTCGGGTCCATCGGGTTGCAGGTTCGTCGGGTTTGAGTTCAAATGGATTGCGGGTTAGTCGGGTTGCGGGTTCATCGGATTCGGGTTCAATCGGGTTGCGGACGAATCAATTACGGGTTGTTCAGGTCAGCGCATCGAGTAACTTACCCCTTACTCATTACCAACTTACACATTTTATTACACTAATTTAAAATATTGTTCTCAATTTTTAACCAATTTTTCCCTACCTCGTATATATACTTGATTTATAAAAAAACTAGTAAAATTGTTGAATCAATTTGTACGACTTGCAAACTTGTTATGTAATTAATCGTAATTGGCAAAATCCACTAGCTAATAGTAATAGTGATATAAATATTTGCAACCTAAAGACACCATTAATTGTTTTTTTTTTTATAATGGTGAGAGAGATACTATTAAAAAGGAAAATAAAACCCAGCAAAGTTCAAGCTGCACAAGAGGTGCAGCCAACACCCAGAAAATAAAACCGAAAGCTGGAAAGACAGAATATAGAAAAGAGAAAAGAAAAAGAACGAAAGAATGAAACCCAACAGAACGCTTCGCCCAACATCGCCAGAAGCCAAGAAAACAACCCACCCCCCGTCTAGGCTGACCAAGCAGCCCCTGACCTGAATCTCAACAAACCAGCAGCCAATGGAGAAAGCAGCAGCAACCATTATTCCCTTCAAGCCCCAGCAAACATCAATAGTAGCAAATCCCAACAAACTAGCAGCCAATGGAGAAAGCAGCAACAACCATTATTCAGTAGTAAACAGATTAAAGTATCTCGTTTAGTATAATCATGCAAACCTGGTATTAAAGATTAAATGAGTTATTTGTAAAATTGATCGAATTATCCTAAAAATTGAACCATTAAAGATTAACTATCAAATTTAGTAAAATTGTTGTGACTTCAATCATAACTTACTCAATAACATATATCCTATACACTTAACCTTACCCTCGTCAACAATATTAGGTTATTATATATTGTTGATCGTATACGCTAAACCATCAGTACATTATACACTAATCACATACCCTATACCCTAACCATTTATCCTTATGAGTTGTGATTTTGCTAGTATAGTTAAATTAAAGTAAAATTCATATTTTGATTTTCAAAACATAGATAAAAAGTGATATTTGCTATACCTTTGCCATATATCTTATACTATACATCTTATACCATATACCCTAACCACGTGCAATAAATGTCAAAGCATAGAAATCAAGTAGACAGATTTAATAAATTTTTCTAAAACAAATGATTGTTTTAACTAATGGTTAATTTAGTTATTAGACCATAAATATATATATATATATATATATACCTTCAAAACATATAAGAATAAATTTAATTAGTCATGTCCTCCATATAAATATTAAAGATTCAAATTTCAAAAGCTAAAATTTTGAAATACCAAAAAATTGAAAACACCAAATTTGTTTTCTTATTTATTTAAAAATAAATTAAAATACTAAAATTCCCTTTCCTCTTTCTCCTTTCATAATTTATAAATTCTCAATTTTTCCCTCCTCTTTCTTTTCCATAAAATTGAAATAAACAAATTTCCCTCCTCTTTCTCTACCACAAAATTGAAGAATCAAATTTCTCTTTTTCTTCCTTCCTTCCACATAAAGTTAAAAACTCAAAATTTCTCTCCTTATTTATCTTCCATAATCGAAAGAACCAAACTTTCCATCTTCTTCCTCTTCTCACAAATCAAAACCACCAAAATTCTCCCTTATTTCTTTTCTCAAAAACTCAAAGAACCATTCGCTAAAAATTGAATACACCAAAATTTCTCTCTTCTTTTAAAAACATCAAATTATCAAATACATTACTTTACTTTATTTATATCTATTTGATAATTTTATTGAATAGTTAAACTAACCAAAATTTTAATTTATATATTATGTCAATATTGTCCATGATTTCAATTATTAATTCTTTATTATTAATATTGACATTGTGTTGATTTTATATTTTATATTTACTTTTTAATTTTGCATAAAGAACTTAGTGTTCAAGTGACCTTCATATTTCAATTTTTATAATTTTCTTAAAATACATAATATCAAGTGAGTTTCATATGTTTTAAATTTTCTATATGAAATGAAAAAAAAAATCTACCTAAGTTTAGAATGAAAAATTTTATTTTGAAAAACTATGTATTATATAATTTAATAATTATTCAAGTGGATTAGGTGAAGTTCGGGTTGAGTCTATCGGGTTACAGGTTAGTCGGGTTTGGTTCAATCAGGTACGGGTTACTCGGGTTGCGAGTTTAATCGGGTTGCGGGTCAATCGGGTTCGGGTTAATCGAGTTCGGGTCAGTGGATTGCGGGTTAGTCGCGTTACGGATCGAACATGTTACAGGTTGTTGACTTTTAATCAATTTGAATTACGAATCAAATTGATCGGACAGGCTAGTCGAGTCGGGTTCTATTTTGACACGGGAGTGATTCGGTGGCACATATCCATATAACAAGGCATTCGGTGTATGCCAATGACCAGTTCTAGTGTTCTAAACACAAACAATACCCATCATCAAGAACAAGCATGTCATCGTAAGACGAGCCATCAAATCGACTCTTCGTTGGCACCCAACACTATAGAATCCTCCTTGATAGAAACTAAATTATGCGTTTGACATGTTGCTAGAAGAAATATTTACTCACTCATGAAACTTGCTCTCCAATTCTAAAGTATCCAAGATTCTCATATTCTGAATTATCCACAACTTCACCAACTAGGGCAAACATAATCGAATGACATCCCAGGGAGAAGTTTACGCTACAACATGAAATATAGATAGAGGTAGATTCCATGTTTGTCCTGGACAGGAGTTACTTAAATCTTCCAGATTTCCAGAAAATTAAACTTTTCAACTATAGAGGTCATCTTCATCGGCAGCAGCAGCAGCAGCAAATGGGTCTGCCGCCGCTGCAGCAGCTCCACCGCTGGTTTCAGAGAACCTGAACTCGGATCCGAACCCTCTTGACTGCTGCAACGTCTGTGCAAACGCTTGGTACTTCCTGATATCGGCATCGCTCACACTCCTGCGAGCATACTTCATCGACTCCTCAAAGTGTGCCGCCTTAATTTCAGCAACCTCATCCTCAACCTCATCTTCCTCCATAGCTTCAGGGTTATCTCTCCTTCTCCTTTCCCTCTCAATGTCCTGGAAAAGATGCATGAATAGGAAGCCATGGGTTCAAATGTGCTACTTGGCAAGGTAGGATAATGAGGGTGGACACGGAAGAAAGTTTTTACCTTCTCAATGTTCTCCCTAATGGCATACTTGCAAGCACGCTGGCAGATTTCAGTAATATCAGCACCACTGAAGCCTTGAGTATATTTGGCAAGAGCTCTGAGGTCAACATCTTTGGAGACTGGGGATTTCCTCAAGCAGGCCTTGAAAATTTGGAGACGGGACTCCTCATCGGGCAAGGGAATATATATCAATTGATCAAGGCGCCCAGGACGCAAGAGTGCAGGGTCTATGATATCTGGTCTGTTTGTGGCACCAATTATGAAAACAGTTTTCTTCGCAGACATGCCATCCATCTCTGTAAGAAGCTGATTCAAGACCCTGTCAGCAGCACCTCCTGCATCTCCAACGCTGCTCCCTCTCTGCACAAAACAAAACAATTAATATGGTCATCTAAAATGTGCAACTTAAAACTCAGATGGATAAAAAAAACTTGCGGCCTTTGAATGAGTTGAACCTGGGTAGCAATGGAGTCAAGTTCATCAAAGAAGAGCACACAAGGAGCAGAACCACGAGCCTTGTCAAAAATCTCTCTAACATTGGCCTCGCTCTCGCCGAACCACATTGTAAGCAATTCAGGACCCTTCACACTAATGAAGTTTGCCTGACATTCATTGGCAATAGCTTTGGCCAGTAGGGTTTTGCCACAACCAGGAGGACCGTAGAAAAGCACACCCTTTGAGGGTGACATCCCAAACTTCTCAAATTTCTCTGGGTGCTCCACTGGATATTGAACGGTCTGTAAATGAAATTATGGACAAAACATTAGTCAAAAAAAGGAGAAACCAAGTAATTTTTCCGCATTCCACATTCAATCACATTGACAGGATATAGTGGACGTCCAATACCTCTTGAAGCTCCCGCTTAACATTCTCCAGGCCTCCAATATCCTCCCAACTACAATTAGGAACCTCTACGACCTGCTCCAGTAATTTTATACGACAGTTCAATCAAACAAGAGGGTACACAGTTAACAAGTAAAGTGATCCCAAGGATTGCAACACCCACCGTTTCACGCAGTGCAGATGGGTTGCTGGTTCCAAGTGCAGTTGCGAAGTGCTCGTTGGAAACTGCCATGGAGTTCAGTATTTCAGCATCTATAGACTCATCTTCCAAGTCAATAACGTCCATCTTCTCCCTAATGCACTGAAGAGCAGCTTCAGTGCAGAGAGCAGCCAAGTCAGCACCAACATATCCATGTGTGTCCTTTGAAATCCTTTCTAGATCAACCTGCACATTACAAGAGCTTTTAAGAACCCACGAATACAGCAATACAAATAAAAGAAGTGCAGTTATAATTTACATACACGCACTTACATCTTCAGCTAGTTTCATATTCTTAGTATGAATGCGGAGAACCTCCAGACGGCCAACCTCATCCGGGACACCAATATCAATCTCCCTATCAAATCTTCCAAACCTCCTAAGGGCTGGGTCAATGCTATTGGGACGATTAGTAGCTCCCATGACAATAACATGTGCTCGGGATTTCAGTCCATCCATCAATGTCAACAGCTGGGAGACAATCCTTCTCTCAACTTCACCATGTGTTTTCTCTCGCTTGGGAGCAATTGAATCAATCTCGTCAATGAAAATAATAGATGGTGCATTCTTCTCTGCCTCCTCAAAAGCTTTCCTCAGGTTGCTTTCACTCTCACCAGCCAATTTTGACATGATCTCTGGTCCATTGATACAGAAGAAGAAAGCACCAGTTTCATTCGCAACTGCACGGGCAATAAGAGTCTTACCAGAACCAGGAGGTCCATACAGTAGGATACCCTTTGGTGGCTTAACACCAATTGATTTGAATAACTGTGGATGCCTCAATGGAAGCTCCACTAACTCACGAATTTGAGCCATTTGCTTCCTTACCCCACCAACATCATCATAACCAACTTCATCCAATCGATTCTCATCTTCTCGTCTCACAGGCTCTCCCTCGCAGAAAATCTCTGTGTCTGGAGCAACCACACAGTACTCTGCTGGGTCCGTCTCAATAACCTTGAACTCCACACTTCTCATTCCTCCTCTCACAAGGAAAAAGTCGCCCTTGCGAACAGGGCGATATGCCTCCAAGAAATAAGCTGCGGTATTCGAAATCAATAAATCAGCAAACAGAGTATAACTCAAGAAGATTACACAAAGTCAGACTCATGCTAAAAGATGCACGAGATCATCAATCAATCAGCAAGTTTGTTTTCACACATCCATAATAAGCGCAGAGCACAAGCTACCGATTTACAAAACAGGCTTTTCCAACTGACAACAGACACAAAATAATCTCTCATTAGCTCCACAATTTTGAGATTCCTTTTGAAAGACCAGTCTTCGGCGTAACAAAACATACTGATAATGCTTCATCAAAGATCCAAAAAGAGAACAAGGAAAAGCTAATGTTCATTTTGATTGAACTGAATGAACTAATTCGGTAAGCAAGAGAACTCCATCACTGAGTCAGAATTTGGCAGATAATCACAACTATCACACTCAAACCTCTAAAGCATATACCTTGAATGACCCAAGGACCAAGTGCTTAGTACTTACGTTTCAAATATGCATCGAAAAGATTTCCAGTGACCCCTTCGATTGAGTCATCAATGGGTAGAATGTGAACACGCTTTCCATACTTGACATCAGGGCATTGGTGAACAGACACAACATCTCCAAGTCTAACCCTGAGGTTTGACCTAACGACCTTATTCATCCTAATCTTTGGCTCGTCACATGTCTCATCAGCAAGGGCAATGCAGATGGTATCTTTCCTCTTCTTTCCCTGGACTCCACAAATAAAAACAAGTCAGCACAGACAACCGAACATGAGTAGGACTCTGAACAAGGAACTCGAATCTCCACAAAACGGTAACAGAAAAGCAGCCGCTGGGTTAGATATGAGTTCCCGGCATTGACAAATAGAACAAGCAAGCTCAACTTTTAACCAGAAAGAGAAGCAAAGAAGCTTGCCCAAAAAAGTATCTACCATAAGCTCTTCAGGGCGACTTTTATCGCCCAGAACCACAATTCAACATTACCAAGGCACTTTCAGGCAGCAGGATACAACGAACAAAGAATACAAACTCAGTTCAGTAATCAATAGTCATTAACAACCGAGTAATAAACCCAACACATCCCATACGAGATCAGTGGATCCTAGATGAGCAAGGGCCAATTTCCAACCTGTAGTTCCCAATTACCCATAAATCCTCAATCCAAGCCCCTCAATTGGAAGAAGAACAAAGAAGAAACCAAGGCGCGGAAGATCAAGAGTCGGCAAACTATAACCTTGATCAAGATCGTATCACCGCGGAAAAGCTGGAGCTTCTCCATGGTGTCGGGATGGAGAGCGACGACGGAGTTGTCATCGTTGACAGCCTCGTCGACTACAAGGCGGTTGGCAGCCTTCTTGCGCTCCAAAATCGCGGTACTAAAGTCTCTCTTAGTTCCCTTACTGCAAGGGGATTAACAACATCGAGAATCATTCAACCACTGAGACGAAATCAACCGGCTAACAAGCCCACACACCGAGACAAAGCAATGGCGAGCGGCGAAATTGCAGATCTGAAGCCAAAAGAGATGGGTACTTACGAATCGGAGGACTCAGCTTGGTTCGACATGGTCGAGAGAGTTGCAGATACTTGAAAAGAGACAGATTATTTTGGTGGGGGCACAAACAAAAAACTGAATTCTTATTTGTAGCCCTAAGTTTTTGAATTTATAGCCCTAAACTTACATACATGGACGATTTTACCCATCATTTAACCTAAACCCTAAATGCACCCACCCAATCCTTCCCTGCCGTTCCCTTACCCTGTTCTCCCCCAAATCAACAAAACACAATCTCAACCACCAAGACCCGCCGCCGCCCTAAACTATCGCCATCTACCACCAAGACCCGCCGTCAACCAGAGCCGCCGCCCAGAGCTCCGCCGCCGCCCTAAACTATCGCCGTCAACCAAACTCACCTCCGCATGTGACTGTCGCCGAGGAGAAGCCTCCAACCCGCTGCCGCCACCAAGACCGGCTGCCGCAACCCTTCTCTTTTCAACCCGCTGCCGCAACGCTGCTCAGACCCGCCGGAGGTAAATCTCTCTCTCCCTCCCTTCTCTTTTGGTTGAGTTGCGCCGACTATACGGGTTGAAAACCGTCGCCAGTGGCTAGAGGCAGGTAGGGCGATCGATTTGGCCGGGGGTAGACGCAGGCAGGGCGCCTGCGCGGATCCGGCGGAGCCAGGTAGCCCACCTGCCCCGACCCTGGTCTGATCCGGTCTCCGACCCGCCCTGACCCTGGTCCGACCCGTTTTCTGACCCGCCCTGATCCTGGTCCGACCCGTTTTCCGACCCGCCCGACCCGTTTTGATTTTTTTCAATTAAAATGCAAATGTTAATGATTAGAATGTTCATTTTAATTAATAATATATAAATTTGAATGGTAAATTATAATCAATATATGACATTTTATAATGGGAAGGAAGAAATGAATCTGTTTGTTGCGTTGTTGTGTGATGAGAGGATGTTAATTAACATTTGACAATATAAGTAGTGTTTGAATTGAAAAAGTTGTTGATTGTTAATAATGATTATAAATAGTTAATGAATATAGGATTGTTAATTGCAATACTAAGAAGAATTAATTTTATTTTCTTGGTAGTGGGTAAAATAAGTGAAAGAAAGGGTAAGAATTAGTACGAGGGTTTGTGATGATTAATATAATTAGTATTTGACAATATAATTTGTATTGGAATTCATAAATTTATGGTTGTAAATAATTATTATGTATAGTTAAAAGATGTATGGTTGTCAATTACAATTCTGAAAATAAATAATTTTATTTTCTTGATAGCAGGCAACAATGAGCGAAAGAAGGGGCAAGGAAAAATCGAGGGTTCTCGGACGCAACGTTACAGTATCTGAGCGGAAAAAACGTCAGGAGGAGTCAGATAGACTTCGTGAGGAGGAGCGTCAGGAGAAGCTTTCGCGTCGTCAAGCTGCAGTGGATCCTCCCCCTCATAGCCATGTTTCCCAGCCGATACCAGGCATCACATTTGGATGTTGGATATTTTATGTTTTGATGTTGGATATTTCTTAAGATTGATGTTGAATATTTCTTAAGATTGATGTTGAATATTTCTTAAGGTACATTTGGATGTGTTATGTTTGAGTGTTTATTTACTAATTAAAATTTTTAACCACTACTTATATATCTAACAAAAACACAACAAACAACAATTTTTAATGATCACACAAAATTACTTGCACCATCGGGCGGGTAGGGAATATGGCTCAACCAGCGGTTAGAAGGGTAGAAAATATGGCTCGACCTCCGGGAGGGCGGGTAGGATATATGCCCTCACCTCCAGGAAGGCGGGTTCACAACATGCTTTGTCCACGGCCTGTGCTGGAAGGGTATATTCCTGCACCATCCGTCAGGTGGGTGTGCAACATGCTCAACCCACGGTGAAGATGGGTAGGTAAAATGTTTGGTCCGTGGTGCAGGCAGGTTTTCAACCCGCCTAGTCTATTTTTTCAGCAACAATAATTGTGAACACAATTGATTAATTTCAACTAAATCCACATAAATTTGAACACAAAATCATTGATTAATTCCACCTAAAACCACATACATTTTAACACAAAATGTCAATCCTTGATAATTGCACCTAAATCCACACATGGCATACAATTCCTGCTCCTGTTGGTATAACTCATCTCAATGCGGAATTGTGCTCATATTCCAAAAATGAGTCCATTGTGGACTAAAATTTGGCATTGGTGTCACCCCATCGACATTGTCGAGAACTAGTCGGACCCAATGAGCCCCAGTAAATCAATGCGAACCCAATGTTGAAGTTCTTCTTCACCGGACTAACACCAATCAATGCGAACCTAATGATTAGAATGCTTAAGGTTGGCGAATTCATTGTTCTTTGCCCTGATAAAAGCTTCGGGAAGAAACTCTGTCTTAAAGGCCTTCAGGAACTCATCCCAGGTGAACTGAACTCGTTCATCATTAACTCTAGAGACTGAGGACCACCAGCTCCTCGCATACCCCTTTAGGAGAAAAACAACATATTGCACTTTTTCCTCTGGGGTTGCATAAAGATACTCAAACACATCTTCCATCTCTCTCAACCACTCTACTACAGCATCTGGGCTCACATCTCCCTTGAAGTCCCTACCACCCAAACTCTTCATCTTTGCATAGTCTAATACTGGCGGTCTTGCATCAACCGCCCCCACTCCTCTCGACTGGTTAGTAGGAACATTTTCACAACTTCCGTGCGAGCTACAAGGAAATATTGGCCTTAGATTGATCCACACAAAATTCATTCTTCACCAAATCTCTCGCTTGGTTAAAACAAAAATTTTCCCAAAATAATTACTTGAAAACAATAAGTTCAAAACTCAATTTTGAAAACCATGATTCAGGTAATTTCATCCAATATACCAATACACATAATCATATCAAACTCAATTCCCAGTTTAAGTCATTATGGGGTACTCCCCTCCTTAGGAGTGTTTAACCTCCCATAGGGTATAGTACGCCATAACAGCAAAAAGGGGGAACCAGGCTCTGATACCAAACTGTAACACCCTACCCTATACGTTTTGCCTAATCATATTGTTCATACAATTGCAGCGGAATTAATCTCGGGTGTTACATTAATTATCAAAATTTACCTAAATAAAATTTTGACATGAATTACTCGCGTAATGGGCTAACAGTTCTTGCAACTTATCCTGCAAAATAATTCATCACAAACATATATACTCACAACCATGAACCATAAGCATTGGCTTTCATAGCCAAAGTCACAGTTTCATACTACACGACTGCATACTATGCTGATACAAGCCATAATCGTCACAACTTACATAATTACAAAAATATACACATATCATCAACTTTCCACATCTGTGGATATCTCACACTACATCAGAAGCTAGTATGCACATGAAAAACGTTCTCAAAACATTTTTACAAAAAGGTGTGGATCACTGGCCAAAATCCCGAGTAGTAGTCCAAGCACAGAGTAGTTGAAGACCATACCTCATCTTGCCTTCAACTCTTGCTCAGCTCCCACCTATACACCTATCTACTGTTGCTGATGATTTGCTTACACATAGCATAAGCAGAGAAGAAGAATAAAAGAGGGTCAGCTCATAGCTGAGTGAGATAATCATCGCATAGTGAGTTCATAACCAGCATACCCCTACCATACATCTAACAATCAAGCCAAAGCACTAGGATCAGATCTCAGCCCTCCGACATCCCAATAGGCAAAAGACTCAACCACCTTGACTTATGCATATGCATCTTATCATGTTTTACTTATAGGCGCCTGGCTACTCCCATGCTAATAACTCTCCGGGAAACATACCCCACATCCCGTCGGATGTAGTCATACATACCCCAACATCCCGTCGGATGTGGTCATACATACCCCACACCACTATGGGTGTAGTCATACCCCGACACCACTCTGGGTGTGGTCATATCTCGTGAGAATTCTTCAGTCACCACCACATGAGAGGTGTGACTATCATACATATCATATTAGAGTTATAGCATAGGGAGCCCTAATTACTACGTAGTTGACCGTGAGACCACAACACTCATATTTGGTATCCTTATACATGATTCATATCTCATCTTGCTTAATCATAATTCTTTACTTGCACATGTACTTGACCTGGCCACAATTGGCTCAACATAGGTAAATCAGGAGTCATATAATTGCACTTCCTCGGGATAAACCCTCGTGCAAGTCATCCTCCTTAAACATCATAATATCACCAGGGAATATATATTTTCCCACTTATGCATCCAAATACAACAATCATGAAAAATCATACCTAATCACCTTCTCGAACCATCGTAAAGCATATTAATAGTCAAGCCCACAATTTGCAACATATACAAAATCATCAGCATAAACAAGGTTCATATCGATTAGGGCAAGTCAATAATATCATACAGCAATCCAGGGTTCAACATATAGCACAAAAGCTCATACACCCCTAATCATGTCATTCTAGTTCACCTAGATCAATTCTAAGCATCAATATAATTATCGTGATACGACAAACCCGGTATGCCGTGCTAATCCCTCACCAGTTCTGGTCGTTCAAACACCGGTTCTAGCCTCCCGTACTAAAACGTCAATTTCACGAACGAACCCCGAATTAAAATCCGAGACCGTCCTAATATCCCCTGCAGTATCCCCGTCAATATTAGTTCTAGGCTTCGGGTCAAATTCTTGATAAAAACACATCAAACCCTGGCCGGAGCTAAATTCAGCGGTTTGGACCCCGACCTAATTAATAGCCGAAATTCACGAATTAGAACTAGAGGATTGATTACCTCGCTGCAGGAAGATCGTATATGAAATTTGGGCTCAATCCGGCTTCCGGATACTCCGAAACCCTAATTTGGCTTATCGGGAATTCAAGAAATTCCTGAACCAAAAACTCATTTTAAAGCTCTAAATCGATAAATCACGATGTATGGATGAATTAGGCATTACTTACGGGATTTTTGGATCACTGTAGCCAAGAATCGAACTGGAGAATTTTTCCCCCGACGTTCCCCTGAACTTCGCTTGCTCTGCCTCTCT